GCCGGCCTTGCTCCAGGACACGGGGGGCAACGGTTCCTCAGATCTCTAAATACTATTTACGCCTGAGACTGCTCTGAAGTTACAGTATTTATCAGACCCAGTGCCAGGTCGTTTTAGATAACGCTCAAAGAAACACAAACTTTAATCCCAAATACGTTTTTTATATTCTGTACTTTTTATATTTTTAAACTATTTGATAACTGGTTTTCAGTAACAGTAACAATGGCTCCTTTATGTTCTTAGATATTCTATTCCTCCTCGTTCTCGTAGGCGTTTCATTTTACTTGAAGTGCTTCATTTTCTTAGGTGCTTCACTTGGAGAAGGGGTCCTTCCCAGGCTGACAAAGGAATCCACGCCATGAAAGGATAAAGGGTGTCTTCAGGAGATCTGGCAAGATAAAGGCTGGTGCTAAAGGCACGAGGTGAGCACGGCGAGGCGCTGGGGGGCAGGCCCGCGCTTGCCGCGTGGTGATGAAGGCACAGGCCTGCTGGCTCTGGCCCGACACCTGCGCCCTCTGCTGTCCCCCATCCAGCGCATGGTCACAGGACCCAGGCCTCCACCTCTGAATGCAGCCGCCGCCTGAAGCCCACGCCCCAGGATCCTGGCGCTCCCGCACGCCGGCCAGCAGAGGCACCGTTCCTGTTCCAGGCGGTCTCCCTGGTGTCTGTGCCGTGACCACCCTCAGACTGGAGCTGCCGCTCTGCTCCGGAGCCAAGAGGGGCAGTGCTTCCTGCGCCTCCTCGGGCCCCTGGGTTCTCCCCACGTGCGCAGGTGCCGCCGGGCCTTCTCTGCGACACCGGGTGGGAGCCGGGACTTGAAGGGCCAATGCTCCGGCAGATTCTGTGAGTGATGGAGTCGCCCGGCTCTGAGCCCAGAGTTGTCCCCAAGCCCCCCGTTGGGCAACCTCCGACCCTTCACTGCTGGTGACAGTAACCAGGGGCCACCTGGGACCGAGGGTCACCCAGGGAGTGTGGGAGGCATCAGGCCCCACAGCCGGGCACCGCAGGGTGTCATGCCGCTCTCTGGACGTGTAGAAGACACGAGAATAGTGGCCGCTGTGTCCTCCGGGGGCCGCACGGGTGGTACCATGGAGAGCAGCTCTTCGAGAACTCACCTGGGGCCCTCCGCGCTGGTCAGGAGAATAAAAGCAAATCGTGCGGCTCCTCACCTTGCTGGGATGCCCAGCGCCAGCTCATCAGCTCTCTCCCTGGGCCTGGGCTGCATCAGCTGCTTGCCGAGAAGCCACAGGGAGGCCTGGGCTCGTCTGCCTGCCCCTCTGGTGCTGTCCAGCCGCGCTGGTGGCCTGGAGAACACAGCTCAGCAGAGCCCCGCCCTGGCGGCCCCGTGCTTGAGTATGCGTTCCTGGCACTTGCTGGGGACGCCGCACCTGCCCTTTCCTTTCTTTCACCTCGCCCTTCGCAGGGCCTGTCACCACTGCAGACCACAGGCTCCTGCTCCTCGTTTAGAAGAGGGCAGAGACCTGCACAGGTGGGATCCCCGGGCGTCCGCGGCGTCGGCTCCACAGACACGTCTGTGCTGCTGGTCACACGCACCTGCGTCTTCAGGTGGCTCTGACCATGAGGGCGGTTGGTCAGACGCCCTCGGGCAGCAGGCTGGCCACGACCTTGCGGGCTCCGTGAGCAGCTCCACGCAGGGCCTGTCTGGACACTGTAACCGACGGGGCACACAAGACGCACTGCAGTCCCTGATACGCCTTCATCTCCTCTGGTTTCAAACGCAGTTGGAAACACGGGTCTGAACAACCCAGCCACGCCGTTGAGTCCACAGAGAGCTGAAAACCGGGCAAGAGGATGTGTTTCCCCGTCTGACAAGATCTTTCCCCCACGAACTGTCCCCTCACACGGTGTGTGACCTCCCCGTGGGCCCAGGTCCACAGCTGCTGCTCTGCGGAAGCGCCTCGCCCGCCAGCGCCGCCCAGGGTGGTACAGCCCTCGTGCGGGGAGGCTCATGGCCAGGGCTGCTGCGCTTCCAGCTGGAGGTGCTCTGGGAACTGGGGACCCAAACCCCAAATGATGCTCAGGGAAAATGCTTCTGCTTCCAAAGCGCTTCCTGGGTCTATGCTCCTGTCCTTGGTCCTCGTCTTGGAAAACCACCCCCTTTCGGAAGCACTGAGACCGGCTGGCAGTTGGCAGAGGTCAGCCTGCGAGAGAGGCTGGGAAGCGGCCTCGTGTGGGCAGCTGCGCCCCCAGTGTGACTTCAGCGCTCTCTGGTCCCCGGGGAGTCTGTGGCGAAATGAAACTCATTTCTGAGATGCCTCGGAGGCCGCTGCATGATGACAGCCTTTCACCCAGGAAGGAACCCACGACAGGCTGGACAGCAGCAGAGGACCCGCGTGACGCCTCGGAGCGGTGCCACGCAGGGGGGCTGACATTCTGTCCCAGCAGCTGCGCGCAGTCACACACTCACTCACAGACGCAGGGACGTGCACAGACACACAAACGCACCTGCTTTTCCTCCCCGTGGGTGACTGCTGACTCACGACCCGGGGGAACCGTAACTCATTACGGCTTACAGTGAAATTGCAGGTAAAAATGCACTGTTATTTTTTATGTAACAATTTATCTTATCTTTATCTTAAAGATGTGTTTCTATAGCTTTTCCATTTTAAAGCATCCGTTGAAGAACTGTCTACGACTTCGAATGTTGCCTGTTCATGGCTGGTTTTCGTTCCCTTAGGAACGTGGAGCTTCCGCTCTCCATCCAGGGAATTTGCCAGAATATCCGTGTTGCAGTGAGAGGGCCAACGACCAGCACCCACTGACCTCGGGGCCTCGTTCAGTGAAGTCAGCAGAAACAGAACCCCCGGGGGGCCTGAGGCAAGACGACGCTTTTGGGGGAAAATGGCCCGACCATGACGAATTCCTGGCCCCTGCTTGAATAGTGACGCCAGCCAGGAGGGGCCGCGGGAGACAGCTGATGCTCTGCACCCACTCTGGCCCTGGCAGAACTTTTGGAGCTTTTGGCAGCTTGGAACCTGTCAGTCGAGCCCGTCCACTCTCTGGAGCATCAGGAAGGCAGCCACCTGGCCACCCAGGGAGGCTGGCAGTGACTCTGGGCACGGTGGGTGCATTCCCAGCTGGGTGCACCACCCACCGCTCCTTCTTGGAGGCCGTTCCCCAGGACTCGAGCTCATTCCTGGATTTGAAGATGAGGAATGTGGTCAACCTCTAGGGGAGAGAGTGACCCCTGGGCTGCAGTCAGGACGGAACCGAGGACCTCAGATCTACAAGGAAGAGGGTTCTGCCCATAAGAAGTCAGGGTTCTCCAGAGGACCCACCAATGGGATGTGTGTGCATAGAGGGAGGGCAGGCAGGCTGCAGTCCCAGGAAGCCAATGCTCAGGGGAGGTCAGAAGTCAGCCTTTGTGCTACTCAGGCCTTCCCCTGCTTGGGCGAGGCCCACCACAGTGGAGGGCCATCTGTCACTCAGCGTCTCCCCCTAAAACACCCTCGCAGAAACTCTCTGAAGAATATTGGACCAGGTGCCCGGACAGAGTAGTGCAGCCAAGTCCACACGTGAAATTAACTGTCACTGCCCACAACAAATGTGCAGGAAGGAAGCTTTTCCCAAAGCCTCCGCGCAGGAGTCAGCAGGGCCGACACTTAGACTTCGGCCTTGAGAGACCCCAAGCAGGCCTTCTGATGAGGGGAACCAAGAGCTGATCCAGCCTTGCTTTAAGCCACGGGGGCTGGGGGCTTTGCTGTGCAGTGACAGACGACGAACACGCAGGCCCTGAAGTGAGGAAGGAAGTCAGAGGATGGTTCCGGGCACGGGGGAAGCACAGAGAAAGCCAGGTCTCCAGGCGGCTCTCAGCCAGAAGCAGGCGAGAACGGCAGGTGACGGCAAAAGCGAGGTCACGGCCAGATGAGCCAGGAGCGAGGCAAGGACGGAGGGCCGTGGGCAGGACAGAACGCTGTCCAGACCGAAAAAAGTGGAAGCAGCCAACCATGCAAAGACTTAAATCGCAGCTGATACAGAAACAAGCATAAATCGCTGCAGACCAAGAGCACATGACACAAGAAAACACGGACAGAGTCTGAGCTCCGGGACAGACCAAAACACGGAGAGCCGTCCAGGCCAAGGAAGCAGAACAGAGGAGGAGGTGTTTATCAGGGGCGACCCCTGCCCTCGCGCGTGCCAACAATGCTTCACTCTAGCAGGGAGGCCAGCACAGTGCGCTTCAGCGCTGGGGCCGCGCAGAGCCTGCAAGAGCCCAGCGGCCCCGTCCAGGGGACGCCCCGGGGAAACCCTGGAAGACTGCTGCGGAGTGAAGGGGAGACTGGAACGCAACCCAGGGAGCCCCGAGGCCACGGAGCGCAGGAGCAGAACCAGCAGGAGGGCCTGGCAGCCAAGCGGGGCGCTATCACGGTGGCGCGCTTATGTCAGATGCCCCGGTGCTGACGCAGGCAGGGGACAAGGAGGGGCGAGGCTTGGTGCGAGGAGGTGTAAAGCAGGTGGCGCGCCTCTCTGGTCTGGTCTGGAGTTTAAACACACCGTTAAAACGACAAATGATGTGCATCTGAAAGCAGAAAGTACCAGAACTCGGGACAGTAAAATAAGAACCTAGAACTGCTGGGCTAAGAAAAGGAGTCCGCCGACGCGAGAAATGCACTCGCTTCGTACTGGGTGGGAAGTCCAGCGACCTGTCTGAAGAAGCAGAGCACTGAGTGTGTTATGTAGCTCCTTTTTAAACTGCCCAGTAAAAACCACAAGCAGAATGGACGCCTTTCCAATTAACACACGTGAAGTAAAGATCACACTGTCAGAGCACACGGTGCAAAATTCAAGGGGAAAAAGGAAAAGAAAAAGCGTTAAAGCCAGAAGGATGTATCAGAAACCGGGAACAGCGGAGTGAGCAGAAGGGCCCCCTTCTCGGTCTGCCCTTTACTATGTCCAAACCTTCGACCGTGTGCACGTTCAAACACACCCAGAAGCAAAGGACACCCGCGGAAGAGTGCTCCTTGCGTGACTATCACGAGTTGGCGAGTTCATTTTATTAACCGTCTATCACACGCTCCCTCTGCTGACTCTACTCAGGGTCCCCAGAATCAAGAACGACATTCTGTCAGAAGTGCACGCGGTGACAGGGCTGAAACGACACCGCCTGTGTGCTCTGGGGGCCCGGGCTCACATCGGTTTAACTGCAGATGGACGATCTGTGCGGCGTGGGTCTGCATTTTAGAGTCAGCCTGGCCCTGCCCATCCGCAAGTATGAGTGGGGTGTGACCTGCCACACCAGCTGGAGGTGGCCAGCGATGCTTACAGGAAGAGCTGTCTTGTAAAAGCGTAGATCATCCAGAGGGAGGGAAAAAAGGCTTTGTGTTGGAAGGTGGACACTGATAAGAGGTTCTGAACGGCTCCGAAGACAATTGGCTGAAGTAATTCTGTCCAATAGTGTGTTCTCACCGACTCTTTTTTTTCTGTAGTAAAGAAACACCTTCATTTACAGTTTCATAGTGATGTAGAGACCACGCAGAGCTACCGAACACTCTCACTTTCCCTTTGCATCTTCCAGCCATGCCGTCTCCAAAATGAGATCTTCTGGGATTTAGTTCCGTATCACAATGATTTTAATTTTTTTTTAATTTAGAGCAGTTTTAGGTTCACAGCAAAATTGAGATGAAGACCTGGAGATTTCCCACACATGCCCCATTCCTGCCCCCACACGTGCACACCCTCCCCACTGTCCACCTCCCAGCAGATGGGACACTTGTCACGGCGGATGGAGCTACGCTGACACACCGTCACCGCCCAGAGCCCATGGCTGATGTCAGGGCTCACTCCTGCGCTGTGCATCCTGGGGGTTGGGACACGTATCCCTCACTGTGGTGTCACATGGAGAAGTCTCACTGCACTAGAAATCCTCTGCGTGCCACCTTTCCATCCCTGCCCACCATTCAGCATTTTTCTGTTCTTGTAGCTTGAAATAAAAATCATGAGCAGATGACTTTTTACCAAGAATCTTGACCATGGCCGTGGTAAGAAGCCGTAGCTTAAGGACAGACCTTTAAGTGCCTGCTGGCCAGCTCCCTTAGGGCCCGGCTGTGGGCTATTCTGAAGGGCATTCATTGTGTTTTGGATTCTCCGCTGCACACCTCGCAGCTCTCTGCGCTCTGTGTGGGTTCCCAGGTCAGACTCACGTGACTGTGCGTGTCTCGTGGATGTTAATCTGGTACAGCTTTGTGTCTGCCTGACACAAACGACTGATCCATTTAAATCGCTCAATACAAAGGAAGTAACAGCCTAATTTGCGATCTGGCATCACGTCAACAAACCCCCACGCCGTGAAACCAAGTGGTGGCTCGGCTTTCAGGCAGTTACTACCGAAGCGTTTTAACACCGCCCTTCATGGCTGTGAAGGACGTGGTCTCTAGAACGTATTTTTGAGAAACTATACCTGCCTTCATGTTGCAAAGGTGTTCATGGTTTAATTTTCCATTTTCCACCAGGGTGACATCTCATATACAGCCTTACACAAACGAATGCATTTTTCAGTTGAATTAAATGAACTGCTGACGTGTAAAAATGCTCAAATGAGATCGCTTAAAATTTTAAGTGCGTTTGACCAAACAAGGTTTTGAAAGCAGTCCATGCATAAACTTCACTTTGTGAGACTCAACGCGGCTATGCAGATTTTTCAGTGCTGAAATGGTAACTGAACTTGATTCAACTCACCCAGGATTATTGCCCGAATTCCATCCTGTGTGGCTTCCAACTGTTTACAATGAAAAAGAAAACAGATGTTTTATCGACCGGCAGCAGCTCAGAGCAGTGAGCCCATCCGTCATACCCTCCACGCTATTTATACGAGAGAAACGGACGGGGCAGCTGCGGCGGCCGGACTGAAGGCATAACTCAGCTGAGGGTTTTCCAGCGCTGTGAGCCTGACGAAAGTTTACATGCAGTCTTGAGACTGAATTACAGCCTCGCCAGCTACTGAACCGTGTGCAGCATCGTTTGTTACACTGAAGGACCGGCCTCCCAGCTTACAAAACTGGGGCTTCTCTGGCGAGAGCTAGAAAATTTACCTCCTTGTCACCAGCAAGAAAAATTATTGTGCTAGGACAAGCCAGTTTTCACTGAGAGATTCAAGTGCACTGAGGGTAAAACGGGCTTCTCACTTTGAATTCCACTGGTTTAAGAACGTGACGTCCATCCGTCTGATCCTACTGTTTTGGATTGATGAAAACAATAAATTATCAAAATGCATTAATTCAGGTTCCAATCACATTAATGCTCAATCAGCCCTTCATTAATAATAGTCCATCAAATGAAATGCAAATGACAAGACATGAAATTAATCACAAACGAACAAACTTTTTCTGTAAAGTTGCTTCCAGGAACTTAATTCCAATTCGCACATTCATACGTTGACAAAAGGTCTCTTCGAGTGTCTCTCGTGCTAACAGTCAGAGGTGGATGCTGTGCGAGGTGGGTGACCACGGGTGTGGGGCGCTACCTCAGAGGGTGGACTCTCCCGGCTGCCCGTCACCGCAGTCAGGATCACCAAGGTCGGAGGAGCGGAGAGGAGTGCAGTGTGGGCACAGGCGGGTGCGCGCAGAGGGAGGGAAGGGCCTATAGGGAGAGGAGGGGTGGCTCCTTGTGCCCCAGGCCCCTCAGGCTATGACTTCAGCCAGGGCCAGTGGTGCCCTGGGGGCACTCAAGACCCTTGAATGTTCTGTGAGTGGCCCGAGGCTGGCCCTTCTGAGGAGCTTAAGGTCCCTGCATTGGCAGTGAGTTCTACAGCCTCCTACCCTGTCAGACTCACTCCAGTACCGCCGCCCCTGCCTGTGCCCAGCCAGGGAGGGGACTGGGGAGAGAGGGCGGAGTGCAAGCCTACAGGGACAGGCCCCCCGTCTCCTGCCCAGTGATGCCTGCCACCGAGGCCCCACGTGTGAGTTTCTGACACCGAGGTGACTCACACTAGAGGGAGATGGGGTGGGGCGAGGGTCACCTTGCATCTCGTCTGTGGAGCAGATGCCCCCTCCACCAGCTTCCTGTGCACCCTGCAGCCGAACCGTCCTCGGGTCTGTCTCTGCCCTGCTCTCAGCCCACAGATGTCATCATCGCTGAGGTAAGCCCCTGGGTTAGAAATTTGGGCCAAAATTAGTTTATTTTTCAGCTTGTTAATGTAGCTTCAGAATTGTTTATATTTTTTCTAAATGTCTTGCTAAGATACCTATAGATCAGTCTCACATCAGCTTTCAAATAGGTCCGCTCTGGTGCTACTGTAACTGCATTTGACATTTTTCCTTTAAACAAAGTCACACGTTACTAACAACTTAAATAAACTGCACTCTTTGGAGACGAGACTGAAAAATGCACCCTGGCTTACTGTGTGGGCAAGGCTTGCTCTTCAGGCTGAACTTGGTCACAGAAAAAGAGTGGAAGGAGCTTATCAACATGGAGCAAGATGGACCTCTGCAGCTGGTGAACGGCCGTCTCCTCGCTCAGCCGGGGGCCAGCGGCTGGATCCCAGCAGCCGGGCTCCGTCCTTCCCACTGCGCCCCCGGCTCTTCCCTCCAACTGCTCAGTGTGTGTGTCCTGAGCACCTCCCCGCCCCGTGAAGGAGCATCTGGCTGGTGTATCTTCAGATGTCTCGCATACACGGATTCTCTCCACCAGCTTCACATGGTATAAAATCCTCGGATCTAAACCTTGGCCTGGCTTCTCCTTCACCGCACGGAATTTAGTGTCTTACGTGTTCGTGTGGACGAGGGCGGTACTCCGCCCGCAGACGTCTGCCCTCTCCACCCCATGCCAACCACCTGAGTCTCTGCACAAGCTCTTCCTTCACTATCGTTGGTTTCTATGACCCAGACGAGCACTGTGAACTGGACCCCTGAGATGTCCTCTTTGCGCCTGCTCTGGGTCCGGGACGCCCCTTGGCCGGCGTCTGTCTGTGCGCTGCTCCCCGTCACTGCAGCCGGCTTGCTGCCCCCACGCGGGGTCTCCTCCCCTTCTCCTCCGCATTCTCAAGCTTGTGACCAAGTGACGGGCTTCCTTATTCTGCAATTACACTGTTTACAGCTGCAGACTTTAACTCCTCCATTTTCATTTCGTCTGCGTGAGCCTAGACGCACTTCTTGGTCCCGTTACGCAGCGGTTGATTTTCCAATTCAGACCTGCTGCCGGAAGCGGTGCTGCCACTCCTCGCTGTCACTTCCCTCGTGTGTTCCGCACTTTCTCCTTGCTCCCTCTCCCCCAGCGACCCTGCGCTCCTCTTTCGTGGGAGCTGTGTCTGGGGGTCATCAACTGAGCGTGAACGCTGGGGTGCGGCCAAGAGTCTGCGTCCCCCTGGAAATAACTCTGGAGCGGACCTTCCTCCGCCTCCCACGGCGCCTCTCCGTCCCCACCCCGCCCCGCAGCACACGCGCGCGCACACACACACACTTTCTTTTAGGTCTCGTGCCATTTGCTCTTCCTCTACCCACCTTTAGAGAAGACCTGGGCAGACCTGGCGTCGGTCAGCTCCTCGGTGGCTCAGCCACCGCCCCAGTGGCAGGAGGCAGATCCTCTACTGGTCTGACTGGCCTTTCTCTCTCCCTGGGGCAGCATCTTTCTTCTTATTCCTCTGCTTGGTTCAATCGCTCTTTCAGAAAACGTTAAAATGTTACATTTAAACAGTAATTTTCAGGAAGACACTGATGCCCTGCTGGGTCTCTCTGTATAGCTTGCGCAGCTCTGTGCCACAGCACCACAAGCTCAGGCCAGACTCCCTCACATGTCCGACTACTGAGATGCTTGGTCCCTGCCCGAGAGCCGGAGGCACTGGTGCTGAGGTGATGGTGATGGTCGTGAAGATGTGAGTGATGGTGCTGATAGTGGGGAGGGCTGGCACTAGGCCCTCTGGCCTTGGCCCATTTTACAAAACGACACCCAGGAGCAGGGAAGGCCAGCTGCCCACACACGTGTGAAAAAGAGGAGCCTGACCTCAGGATTTCCTGCAGAAGCAGATCCAGTGTTTAGCGCCGTGTGCTGCTGTCCGCGCGCCACTCCCCGGAACAGCAGCTGTGATCACTGAGAATCGCTCTGCACCTCGTGCGTCTGTGCCGCCAACTCCGCCTCCTCACGTGCTCCCCTCCAGCTCGGGGCGCAGTCCTTGGAGGTAAGGGGGACTTCTTCCCTGACGCAGACTCTCAGGAGGAACTTCTCTCTGACTTATTCCAGGACTAGGATGTGTCTCCCAAGAAGCAAGTGCTCCCCACAGCCAGTCCCTGGGACGTTTTCCTCTTCGGAGCATCTGCAGACGGCTCAGAGCCGCCCAGGCCACGTCCAGGCAAGGGCAGGGTCTTCCGTGCGGCTCTGGGCGCTAAACCACTGTTGCTGCTTTTCCCCACTTCCTGCCTCAGATTTCAACTGTCGCTCTGTTCTTCTAAAGGCCTCTTTAAACTCTTCCTGCCAAAGACAAAGACTATGTGAATAATAACTGGATAAAACCTAAATTCAGGGACAGAATAAAGACAAAGGACAGGTGCGGAGACACATGGCCCTGCTCGCAACGTTGCGTCCCCCTCTCACCGGAACCAGCTGTGGTTACGCTGTGCCTCAGCCCTCATCCCCCTGACCCCCCCACTTACTCTCTGTCCCTGCACAGGTGACAGTGCCGGCTCTGTGCTCCCAATTTCCGTGTGCGTTCCAGCCTCTGCCCAGCAGACCCCGTGATCCCTCTGGCTGGAGGGCCTGGAAGGACCCGAGTCGGGCCGCCCTGGCGGGTCTTCCTGAGAGGCCGCGGTGGCTCAGGCACGTCCCACCACAGACCCCCACTCACCCCCTCCACTGCCTCCCAGCCAGCCCGACTCCCTTCTCTCCGTCGGGCTGAGAGACGACATTCTTCTCCTGGATGTTTCAGAAAGCACGTATGTGAGGTAACGTGGACTCCGGAGAAATTACTAACAGTTCATTTTAATAAAATGAAAGTTTTTCCTGCCTTGCTCTGGCTTGCTTCCTAAACTCCTGGAAGACCCTGGACACACGAACACAGACTTCTTTTTCTAACATCTCAGGTACGACGCCTGACTGCTACAGTGCCCTGGCTATTTCTGGAATTCAGACGGAGTCTCTGCTGTGACAAGGCCTGAGGGGGACGGACAGGGTCAGATTGGGCTGTGTTGCCACAGGGGTGGGAGTAGCTGGCCCTGCTCCAGAGACAGATGTGAATTAAAAAAAAAATCTTTCTGTCTGGAAAATTTCAGACATATGTAGTAGACAGAATTATGAGCCCCGCGTGCTCGTCAGCCTGCGCTGTGAATGACCTGTTCATGGCCGGTTGTTTCCCGTGTGCCCAGCCTGTTCTAAGCACATCCCAGAGGTGCACCTTTGGCCGGGAAGGCAGAGCAAGTCACCCTTGAAATAACCTGTGCTGTGCATGCGGTGTTCCCAGGGAGCAGGGGTCCAGCTCCCCTAAAACCGCAGTGACCGTCCTGGTGAGGCTGACCACGCCATTCCACAAACACACAGGCCACTTGGAAGGAAAGAGGCCTGCTTACTATGAAGAATAAACAGGTGAAATGTGGCTCAAAGCACAGTGAAGCTCTTAGAAGCAGGACAGCTTCCAAAGAGGTGGCAGTGATTCACTGCCGGTGTCACCCGAAGGGGGGGCAGCAAGGTGGGCACAACTGCCAAAGGGCAGCCCTCGGACCAGGGGCTTGGCATGCACCCCTCACACCTGCAAGGCCAGACCCATCCACTTACTCCCCCATCTACACAAAGGGAGAAGCAGGAGCCCGGAAACGGGGCTTCCGCGGAGATCTAAGAGGCCAGGGGGCTGGCTGATGAACACGGACACCACTTCTTTCCCAAACTGCTCCTTGTCCAGCCCTCGGGGAGGCTCACCGAGGAACTCACTCCGGGGGCGCCCTGTACAGTCGTTTGGCTGAGGTCGCGGTAACTCCTGGCATGAACAGTGTCATCAGCTGCGCAGTTGAGACGCATCCCATCTGCCCAACAAACAACCCCAATACCAGGCCCTCCAGAGACCTCTGGGTGGGGCCTGCTCAGGCCGGGGGGCGTGGCCTGGGAGCACAGGCAGGCTGATTCCACGGCCATGCCGACGACACCAGGCAGTGCCAGGGACATCCTGGCACTAGTGGACACGTCTCCTGGGTGGGTGGAACACTTCCCTGCTGGCAGCAACACGGCGGCTGAAGTGGCTAAGGCACTGCTAAGAGGAACAATCCCCAGGCTGGGCTCCCAGGTCCCCTACTAAGTGACAATGGTCCAGCACTTGTGCCTCAAGTGACAAAGGGATAACCAGTGCCCTGGACATAAAATGGACCCCGCACTCAGCCTGGAGATTCCACCGTGGGGAATGCAGGCAGAGCCAACCGGACCTTGAAACCTGCTTCACCTAAGCCAGGTCAGGACACCCAAGAAAATCAGACTTTGTAAGCTCCATGCACAGGAGCCCCAGGGGTAAGTTAAGTGTGGTTGAACTCACATGTGTGGAACCCATTCACCTAGCCTGAGACAAGGGACAACTTAGCCCTCAAAATGGAACAACTCAAGTTTGCCACCCAGAAAGGAGAAACCAGGAATGCCTTCATGGGAAAAAGTGACCAGGTGCTGCCCAGCTCTGGCCCTGCATCCCTTCCGGCCAGGAGCCTGAGGGCACCTAACAACCTGGAAAACCAGGGCCTGCGAACCCAGCTCCCTCCTAAGTGGACAGACCCCACTTAGTGACCCTGACCACCTGCTCTGCCCTAAAGTTGCAGGGGTCACTCCAGGGGGGCAGCGCACCCAAAGGAACAGGCCCCCGAGCCCCAAACTCCAGTGACAACCTGGGACAACAGACCACCTGGACCGCTCGCATGAGCCTCTCTTCCAAAAAACCACCACTGTGTGAGCCGAGCATGTGCGCCTGCAGGCAAAGACCTAGAGGCCTGCGCTCTCAGGACCCTCCTCTCTTGCTAACACGCGGACGCGCATCTTAAACCGTCTGGCGGCCTTTGTCTCCAGGAGGCTGGACAAGCGGTGGTCGCGAACAGTCAGGGCGGAGGCCTGGGGACAAGCAGACAGCCCGAGGGCCCGGGAGCAGCCCTGCTCCTCCCGCCGGGCCACGGCCGGCCGCCCAGGCTCGCGAGGGCAGTCCCTCCGCCGGACAGCCAGAGCAGGCAAGGCGGAGGCGGAGCCCCCGCACAGCGCCTGGGGGATAAAAACTGAGCCCAGGTAACGCGGTGAAGCCCAACCTTTCGTCCTCTGTGCTGGGTCAGCTTCACCTGCTCAGGCGCCGCTCCGGGGCTTCAGATCAGGTCCCCGGAGCAAAAGGGACGCACCCACACTTCAAGCTGGCGGGGCCGGGGAGCAGAGGGCGGGGACACTGCCCAGGCCCAGCCCCGCCCTCGCGGGAGCCCCGCCCCCGCCCTGGAGCAGATCCCTATAAAGCTGCCCGGCCCTGGTGTGGCGGGGACAGTGTGCGCTGCTTGCACCTTTCTGTTCTTCCGTTAAAGAGTAGAGTTTTCCTTTGTTCCTCAAGGAGATGGAGACAAGGAGTTCTGCTGTAAGAACGGGCAGAGAAATTGGCAGCAGCTGTGTCCACCCCGACTGGAAAGAAATGACAACAAAGCGGCATCGGGATGACGCTCACTGGCTTTCCTCCAGGTCCTCACGCGGAGCCCACGCGGCGAACCGCAGCCGTCAATCCGCAGCTCCTGTTCGTCGGTCCTAGCGGTCTGAGGCGCTGAGGTCCCAAAGGGTTACTCTCCCAACCAGAAGGCAGCCTCCGTGTTCCTGGAGCTGCCACCAGGAGCCGCCTTCTCCAGAGTCACAGGCAGAGACTCCAACCTGGCACCACAACCTGCTCTCCACTGCGGCCCGCCTGCCGGCTGTGAGACCCCAGCCAGGGAGGGGCGGGTGGGACCGCCCACTTGGAAAGCCACATTGCTCTAGGATTCAGGCGGAAAACAGTCCCATAGTTTATTTCTGAGCCCACTATGTTCTGGGCCCGATCTGCTCAGTGGGGAGATGCTGTCCTTTCTGGGGGATCTTGGCTTTGGGAAGGGCTGTGCCCTGCTCCCTTGTCCCTCTGCTGCAAGCATCTGGTCTCTGGGGTCCTCCCCGGTCAGACCATGGGTTGACACTACTGGGCCCCTTGTTCAAGTCCAAAAGGTGTTTGCATGTCCGTCCACCTCAGCTCCGCTCTGACCTCTACTCTTGGGGTGGAGAGAATGAGGCTATTGCTCCCTCCCCTCTCCCACCCTGGGCACCAGAAATTCTGGGGCTCAGCCGGCCTGAGTAGCCAGGGTCTGGGACAGATGTTTCTGATACACTGTTGGTGAGGGCTTTGTGTCTCCCTGGGGCTGGCCCTCAGGCAGGTTGCCTTGGTCTCTGCCCAACAGGACTCCCCTGTCTGGCTGACAGCCCTGCCCTCCCTCCGCAGGGAGTCCTGAGAGTGGGAACGGACGGGGCGAGGCCCCTTCTCAGGAACCTCCTAGCATTTGAACAGTTTTTCTTTTTCTTTTCCCCTGGGTCGCTATTCCTTTCTCCATTTCCTCCCATTTAGGAAAACACATCTAGTCTGGAAGCAGGGGGAGAAAAAAGCTGGCTCTCACAGACAAAAAATGTCCTTCCAAATCTATTGTTTTGTGCCTCCACCTTCGCTTTTGAAAGTCAAGAGCTAGGAATGTGCCATTATAGTTTCACTCCTAGCGGCTCTGTGCCATCAAGGCTTGAGACAAAAACCCAGGGCTGTGCGACCTGAGGGAAAGGCAGGAACAGAGAGAATCAACCAAAATGTTAGCCCAGCACAATGTTTCTGTGACCCTCAGGGTTTCGGACGCACGACTTCGGGAAAACCGTGCAAAAGCCACGAGTGTCCCCGGTGTCTCCCAGCAGGGCGGGACCCCAGGCGAGGTTCCGTGGGAATGCCACGGGGAAGCCGATTCCAGCTCGGGCCCAGGCCCAGGGGAGACAGATTCACGTGGAACAGCAGGAGGTGGGCTCTCACCAGGCATGGCATCTGCTGGTGCCTTGATCCTGGCCCTTGGACCCTGGAACTTGAGAAATCAAAGCCTGCTGTTTGTACCCCTACCGCCCCTCCACGGTGCCTGTCAGCGCCACCCCTGGGACTAAGACCCCAGCGCCACCCCGCGGACTAAGGCAGTGGCCCTGCTGGCGCGCGCTCCGACACGGGCCAGCTCCCACCATCACCTCAGCTTCGCTTCTCACGCCCTCTCCCACCTCCAGGACCTCACAGGGCAGAGGCAGCGCCTTCACCGCCTCTCAAGACGACGAAGACTACCTTCAGGAAGCAATCCATTAACTCCACGCATTTGCGTGCTTTTCCCAGGACGACCGTGGGTGAAGCCCAGCCCCACACTCTCAACGGCGAAGGGCTCCGTGTCAGCAACGCCGGTCGGTGCGCGGGGCGTGAGATGGACGGGGATGCTCCGGCTCAGCCGCAGGCAGGCTGCAGGAGGGGCCCTGGGCAGCATGCCCGGCCCGGCCCGCGCCTGGCGACATTCTGACCCCTGACACCCTCGGCTCCTGCAGCCAAGGGGGCCTCCCCGCTGTCACCTTCTCCCTTTTCTGCCCTGAACCGCCCCCAGGTTCCAGGGCTGTGTTGACGAGCGTCACTTTCTCACTGTTGCAGCTTATAAGTGTAGGAGAGCTGAGGTGCCTGCCAGGCGTGAAGGCAGCCGCGCGGCCAGCAACATTTAACTAAATTCCAGTAACTTCTGTTCTTCCGCCGTGTGACAGAAACGCACTGCAAATCTTTCTGTCACGGTGTTTTGCAATTCATATATTCTGCAGCAGTAACAATTCTTCGCAAAGGCGAAAGGGGTTTCTATTTCTCTATCACAATTTTAGCACTTTGCTTGGAAGGACCTTAATAGCCATGAAGGCACAACAACCTGGGGTGAAACCCTCCTGCAGGAGCGTGTAAGCCTCTGTCACCAGTGGGGGAGGAGGGGCTCTCTTATTCTGTCCCCCCAAAGCAGCCCTGTCTGGGGGAGGGGTGCAGCCACTGCCACCGGGGCTGAGCCACCCCGGGGCGTGACATTTATGGAGGAACCAAACAAAAGAAAAAAACAAACAAAAAAGCCCAAACAACTCTCAGAAATGGAGACAAATACTGTCCTCATGCAACATGTTCAAATATCAACATTCATGCAAAAGATCATGATGAACAAAATATCAGAATTTGACATAAAGACGGTTTTGTAATGAGCCATATTGGAGCCTGGGGCAAAAAAATCAGGAATAGTAATCCTGTCTGTATTTAAAAGTTTTTTTTTGTCATGGGTTTTGCATTAATTCTGATTTTTCACATACAGCATTAAAATGGCATTTATCTAGATGACTGAGATTTTGTGCCAGGCACGTCCCTCACTCGCCTCACCCGCCTCTCGACGGCCCCGCTGCCACCTCTGTGGGTGCCCTGCTGCCGCAAGAGCCCTCCTCCATCTGCAGGTCTTCGTGGGGCGGTGGCTCGAGGTGGGGCAGCAGCAGGGCTCCTGAGTGGACGGGGCTGAGGGTCCGGGGGCCGGGAAGTCAGCACAGAAATGGCTGCTGCTTCCTTCCTTCCTGCGTTTGCTCATTTGTCCACTTGTCCGTCCATCCTTCCGTCCACTCGTCTGTTTATTAGGTCAGCCGTCACTCAGCTGTCTGATGCTCGCTCACGCACCCATCCGTCCGGTGTTGGTTCCTCGTCGCCGCGTTCTTCACTTGTTCGCTTGTTCATTCACTCACTCCTTTACTCTTCCATCCACTCGCTCATTCATCCATTCATTTGTTCACTGGCTCAACAGCTGCTTCCTGGCATGAGGCCAGGACCTGGGTCCGGGACGGGACAGGAGGTGCGTCCCAGTCCGGGGGCAGGGGGCCCTTCCCTCTCTGGCAGCCCTCCCCATGTGCCAGCAGCCCCGCCGCCTCCCGCAGCCGCGGCACAGCTGCAGCCCCGCCAGTGAAGGCAGGTGCCCCTCCTGCGCGCGGGCCTCGGGGCACAAGCAGGAGAGACCACAGAGTCTGCCCTGCACGGCCAGGGGGAGGCGGGAGGAGTCCCGAGCGGGACAAGGTGGCTGGGGGCACCGAGGTCAGCGTTCACAGGGCGCCGGCTGGAGTTGGGGGGATGGAGGGAAGGTGCTGGTGAATCGCTCCCCCTCAACACTGTACTGTCCTCTGCCGGCCGGGCAGCCCTCGGGTGCTGTCATCATGGGGACAGAGACTCCAGGCTGGACCGTGAGAGTAAACTTGGGAGAAGGGGTGAGTGTCGAGTTCAGGCGTGGGCCACCCAGGAGTCGGGACTTTAAAAGGGGCCAGAAAGGAGGCTCTTTCCTCCTGAGGACTCATGTTCTCTGACGCCAGGGGCAGAGCCGAGGCAGCCCACGGCCCGTGCGGGGCGGTGGCTTGTAGCCGGCCATCCCCTTCAGAGTGACGCCAGCAGGCTGGGCTGCGCCGCCGCAGGCGGGTGTTCTGCTCCCGATGGAGACCCTGCTGATGTTTCCAAGCTTATACTGCGTGCGGCTGACGGTGAGCACGTGGAACCTGTGTTCTCTCCACACTTCTTCACAACAGAACAGCTCTCCAAGGGCAGGCTCCCGGAGGGAGCTGCGGCTGGGTGTGGAACAGAGCGACATGACACCCACGTATGTCTGCTCTAACCCAGCGGGAGAAGAGCCTCGTCCACACCGGCGCTGGCGAGTCTCCTGGGGGCGCAGGCAACGCTCCTGCTTCTTGGAACTGTCTCGATGGTCTCCAGCCTCCTGGCCACCGCAAGCAGAAGGAGTGTTCAGTCCGCGACATCAGGAGGGGGCTGGGTCAGCCAGGTACAGACCACTCCCAGGATCCAGGGCTGCCGTCCCCACACACCTGCCAGCCGTGTGGATGCACCCTGTGTAAACTGTCACTACGGCGCCATTCACAGGAGGCAGGTGGAGAGCTTGGCTCAGGCTGAGACTCTTGGGCAGAGGGAATGGGGTAGGGGTGCCCCATCCCACTCTGTGACCACCTGCACTGCTGGAAATCAGGGGGCCTCGGGGATGGAGGGGAGGCTTCCAGGTCATTTTGCCCGGTGACCTGAGGATGCCCTGCCATTGAACCATGAACAAGTCAAGACGCAGGTGCTTACGGGAGACCCAACCTTTCGGAGACCTGGGGGTTCGTTTTCCCTCTGACATGCGTATCTGCACCCAGGTATTAACCAGCCACCACTGAACAATGTTCAGGGCCCCAAGTGCCCAAGGTAACGGTGAGGACCGAGGACGCGCACCCACTCCCTGACCTGGGCATCCACACATACCGGTGCGAAGCTTCCCCGAGAGCCCAGGAGGTGTCGCCAGTGTCTTCAGAATGGAAGCCATGGCCTCTGGGGACACAACCAGAGTGAAGGGAGCCGTCCTTCTTGGCAGCAATGCGATGACCGTCAGTGGGGGGCGTAGAATTACTCCATCATTTAGTGAGACCACGGTTCTCAAGTGCAGGAAGTACCCTTTCCAAGCTCATCCAGGTGTGTGTGGACCTGGTGGTCTCTGTGCTCTGTGTACACGGCCTCGCTCACAACTGCGCCCAGTCAGAGGCGAGCAGCCTCATCCCCGCCCCTCCTTCCCACAGACCCCCGAGGGCAGCCTGGGACGGTTCCAAATTTCGTTTGGTGTAGGGGGAGCCTGGCGCGCACAGGCACCTTGGGGGTGTGATCAGGAGGCTGTGGGCTCTCTCCAGCCTCCCTGCTTCCTCTCAGAAAACCCAGGAAGCAGAGGCTCCCAGCAAGTCTGTATTTAGCCAAGTTCAAGTCCAAGTCAGCGTGAGTTTCCGACCTCAACCAGACAGAGGGGAGAGGAGCTGCAGCAGAAGCAGGTTCGGAAGACGCTCCTGCCCAGGACAGGTCTGGCGCTACACCTGAGGGGCAGCACAGGGCCTCGCCCCCTAACAGGATGCTTTCTGAACAGGCAGGAGGAAGTGAGGTGGGTCTGGAGGGACGCAGTGGGCTTCCCTCCAGGCGAGTCCACCAGGGCCCGGCCTCCCTGGGCCGTGGTTCCCGAGCTTTGCCTCGAGGGGTGATCGCCTCCCGGCCCGGGCTCTGCCTGGTCCCCTCCATCTCGTGCAGACGCCACGCGGACTCAGGCGGGTCCTGGACCCGCTCTCCAGCCGGAGACGCCTGACCCGGGTTTGGGCAACTGCTACCTAAGGCTACAGACACCCCTGGGACACCGCCTTAAGACCAACTGCAAACACCTGCGGGCTACTTTGTGCGAAACCACGGCCGCTCTGCATGGTCGCACTTCTCCCCGTGGTTTTATTCCGCAGTTTGGCACTTGCCACAGGGGGCTCATACTTCCAGGAGTCCGGCCCAGAACCATAAAGGAGGGATTATTTTGTGATTAGTGGAGCACTGAACTGGCGATGCACGGCTGTGGTGCTGGTGGTGCCGACTCCCTGTTGCCATGACAGCGGAGCGTGCCCGGCCAGGCAGCCCCTCCTTCCGTGGAGACCCCACCCGCCGTGCACCGAGGGAAATCAGGCTTGTCAGGGCTCCCGGCGAACGCCCTGGGCTCGGTCAGCTTGCCGCGCGGTCGTGGAGCAGCAACGTTGACCCAGAACAGACGACCAGCGCGCTGCAAGTGACGTGCACGCCCGGGACGCGCGCGCGGCCTCCTCCCGCTCAGCACCTGCAGGCTCTGGGCTCCGCGCGCTCACCGCCGCCTCCAGCGGGGGGCAGTGGGGACACGGCCACACGCGCTCACTCACACGCACGCACACTCACACGCAGACTGGGGAGAGAGAGAGTCGCAGGGACCAGCCCTGCCCTACGAGCCGCGTCTGGCTGAGAGGAGGACATCAGGAAAGACAGGTGTCCTGTCTCAGGGACGGGAGGCACCGAGGGGCCCCTGCTCCCCGCTCCTCCCCGAGGGGCGCCTCAGGCCCCCCACTGCACTACGGACTTAACAAGGCCTTTCAAACACCTCTTACGGACAGCACTCGCAGGCTACCTGTCTCTGTTTTCTCTGTTTAACTAGGTTTTATATCCCACGTCCCTGTCACTACTTGCCTCAACCGTCCATCAACAGGGCCCTCTCGACGCCGGGGCTGGGCGGCTCCCTGCGGTGAGGACGGTGAGGACGCGTCGCCTGCTCTCCAGTCGCCTCACTGGTCATTACGGCAGTCTCGCCCTTCCTGCAGGGCGCAGGTTCATTGTTTATTTTAGCAAACTTTCTTAACAGCCTCCGTCTGCTGTCAAGTCAATGACATGCTCCTCGACTTCCCTGATACACGAAGTCTTTTCCTGCAGGAGCCCCGAGGAGGGGCCGGTGCCTCAGCACAGAAAGGGGCGGCACGTGCCCCCTAACCTCTCCGTCTCGGTGTCGGGACGCCCAGAACGAGGCCATTCCAACCCCGCCGGCCACAGGCGTTCGCGCTGGCTGCCCGAGCTCTTCACAGCCTTTAAAGAAGAAGGACCCCGCCGCAGCAGTGCCGGGCTCTGCAGCGCTCCCCCGGACGGAGCAGGAGGCGGCCGGCTCCCGGGGCGCCGGCCCTGACGTGCACTGGGGACCTGTCCTCGAGCCCAACAGCACGCCTCTAGGAAGCACTGTGTGCGGCACAAATTGCTTCTAAACAGCAGCGTCTGGGTGACAGAACGAGGACTGTCCTCCCGCGGGGAGCAGACGAGGGCTGGGGCGCCGCGGCGAGCGCTGGCACAGGAGCCCCCAGCAGTCACTGCGCCACGCGGCGCCCAGTGGCCAACCCGGGGCTCCAGGCTACGTGGACTCAAGTCCACCGCCACCCGCATCGTGAGGTTACGGGGCTGCACCAGGCCGGCAGGTGGCAGGGCCCCCTGGTAGATACCTGAGCTGAGAAGTGGGAAGAAACCCACAGCCTGGGCGACAGCTCAGAGGGCCCCGTGGTCAAACATGACGTCACCAGGCCGCACAGAGTTCCGGGAGGGTGACAGGCTCCTGTGGTGTTGAGGCAGACCCGGGGGCTTCGTCACCTCCCGAGGGCCCGACTTGCTACCAGACAGGATGGGTCCGACGTGCACAGTGACCGCATGTGACCTGCGGTGAGGACGGAGCCCGGGTGGTGCGGGCCGGGCCGTGACAGGCCCTCGCAGCTCCTCGGCGACGGGCGCTCCTTCCAGCTGACGCGGTCACTGCGCCAGCCTCGGCGGGCGCCCCGCCGTCTTGGGCTCCCAGAGGCCGTGATCTGTGCTCGAGTTCTGGCTCTGACGTTCGTACACTGGTAAAAGCCACCGCGCCCCAGGAAGCCAGATCCCCTGACCGTCCCTTTCTGTTGTGTTGCAGACGCTGGCCTGACATCAGAGGAAGAGACAGAAGAGAGGTTTCATGAGAGAGCTGAGGAAATGCAGCCTCTGGCTTTTTTAAAAAAAAATAATTTCAATTCATTTTACAGAACACGTGCTGGGCCCCGTTCCGTGGAGGCACTGCCGCAGGGGCAGAGAGATGAACAGACTGCCTGTCCCTCCTTCTCTGCAGCGGGGTTTGCACCTGGCGGGCGGCAGGGTCGGTGTGAGTCGGGGTCCCCAGAACAGGACCGACGAGACAGAGGGAGCCCCCATGGAGCTGACCCGTGCGGCCCCGGAGGCCAGGCCGGCCCTCGTCTGCCATCTGCGAGCCAGAGGCCCAGGAAGGCCGGCGCGCGGCTCGGCCTGAGTCCAAAGGCCTGCAAACCATCAGCTTCCTTCCTTCCTTCATTTTCTAGCTTTTTTTTTAAATGAAATTACTTATCATCTAAAATAAGTAATTTTTAATAGCAAATACACAGCTAACGTTAGTGCCCACCCCGTGAGCACCGTCCCGGTGAGGACCGGGGCAGGCGTGCGCCGACTCAGTCTGTGTAAGATGAGGGGACAACAGACGAGGAGAAGAATGTCGGGTCCGGGGTGGGGCGACGCTTGGATCCGTTTCCTCCGGGACGCTTCCTGGGTCTGAGCTGCTGCGTCGGCGGGTGGAGGGTGCGGACGAATGACCTGTTTGTTCTGTACTGGTTTCCCTTTACTTGGTTGAACCGATTTTTTCAGCATGTCCATTCCAGTGATGCGCTGTCAATCCATTCTTACTGTAAGAAGAACCGTTTCATGACAGATTTGCTGGACACAAGCCTCTGATTAGAGCAGCGTGTGGACTCCTTCTCCGCGGTTCCTGCTTTGCTCCTGTGAGTGAGCAGCGATCTGGAGGAGAGAGGAGGAACTGTGACTCAGCCTGTCTCTCGGGCGGTCTGTGCTCTGTGATCGGCTGGGGCGTCTGGCTGTTTTCACAGAAACCGAGGAGAACCCTGGAGAAAGCGACAGGGTGGGTGTGGAAGCCCGACCCAAGTTGTGGTTTTAGATTATTGTACCTGGACAGTGGCTTGCAGGAAAAGCAGTTTCTGCTTCCCGAAGATTCAGTGTTTATTTCAAAAATTAAGGTCCACTGGGAGGGAGAAACATTTTCTTAGACAATTTTTTAATTCAATTTGGCTTCTCATCTTTGCGCATGAGGCCCCAGAGTGAAATACTTTACCACTAAAGGGCAAAATCAACTTTGCCGCTGAAGCTGCACGACTGGTAAAGGATAGTCTCCTGGTGGTTAATGAGAAGACGGTGATGTCAGGCAGCGCTTACCTGAGAGACTCAGTGCAGGCCCCCTGAAACAGTAAAGCTGGCTGAATCGTGTCAAGCTGCTACGTTTGGCCTAAAACCTCAGAAAGACACGATCTGGTACGGTGAGGTCCAGCCTAGCAGATTCGCCGTTCGTGACTTGTAGTCATGTGGAAAACAGACTGTCTTGTGGTGTAGAGAATCAAGTAATTTCAGGATTAAGCCCCAAGCGATATGAACTATGAAAACAGAGGCGGCCCCTGGAGGCTTGGGGACATTTGCTTGGAAAGCCCGTGAAGCCACGTGCACTTACTGGCTAGCGCTAATTGTCTAAAATGACAGAACGATGCTTAATTATTAGTCACACGCTTCCCAGAGACATTTAGTTAAAAGGGCAACTGAGCTCTCTCTCTTGTGTGTTTTCAGTTAACCTCCTCCAGGAGCCCGTCCATATCAGGTACAACCATCCGGACGTGTGTGCAGATCAGCGGCAACTGGGTGACTGGCCGAGATTCTGAAATGACTAAAGCGGCTGGTTTAGCATCGCAAAACTAAAGGCATTCCTGGCCGTAAATGTCTGACTACAGGAGTCCACGGTCTCATCGATTCGAGGCTAGGAACCTTGTGGATACAGTAACTTAATGTCACTTTTTATGTTCCACATACTGGTGTGTGAGCTGTGCGTCTATAGTTGGAACAGAATACTTGGTTCTCACGTTGAGGCAAAGGGCAGATTCTGCCCTGCGGCCTGGACACCTCGTGGTCATTTTATCACCTTTGCCGGGAGCCTGTGTGCCACCGAGGTGCTGAGCTTGTCAGGAAGGCTTCGGGTCTTGCTCGTTTTCTGCTCAACGCCAGGTAAGGGCTGAAACCTCAGGCATCTGGTGCCGGGCAGCAGCCGGGGGAGGGAAGTGTCAGCAGACTCTGAGCCGTCGGCAGCGGTCCCTGAGCCTTTCTGCCTGTTTGATCCTCACCAAAACCCGACGAGAAGGGCGGTGCACGCCCTCATCTTAGTCGGGGACTGATGCTCGGAGGTTTCATGTCTTCACCAAAAGCACAGAGCTGGTGGCGAGGGTAAGTCCTGGCCCATGCACTGTCCAGGTGGACAGGCCAGCCACCCAGCCAGAGGGCAGAGCCGCAGCACGACAGCTGTTTCCACTGAGCTCTGCTGGTCCTGGAGCAGTGACCGCGCTTCTGACTGGGGGCGTGCACAAAGGAGAGGAGAGCACCTTCTCCACGTTTTTCCACCCAGCCAACTGCATCCTCCTTCCTCTAAGCTTTCGAAGCATCGCCACCACCATCTCCCTTGTCTCACCATGGGGCGACGGTCCCCATCCTTCTCTCCCCACCGCCTTCTCTCCCCTCCCTCAAGACCATCTCAGGGCTGGCCGAGCTCCCCCATGCCAGTCAGCCAGCCCCACGGCCCTGGATTCCAAGCCTCAAATCACGACAGGCGTGGAGACTCTTCAACATGGATGGCAACGCCGTTTGGAAGCAATTAGCTGCTTCCTAATGCTGCTAAATCTGACGTGGGAGCGGCTGGCAGGGAGCAGGACGGACCTGTCTGTTCCCTCTGGAAACGTGATCAACCGAGAGAAGACGCCACCACTCCAGCCATTCCTGCAGCTCAGGCATGCCAACCTTTCCCTCCCTTTTGCCAATTTTGATGAAATTCAGTCTTAGTCCAGTGGCCACTGGCACCTGCCGTTCAAACCCCACTTCCCAGAGCCTCAAAGTCGAGCATCGGCTCAGACAGTGACACACACACTGGCTACCCCAGGAGCTGCCCTCCCCCGTGGCGCTTGGGCTGTGCGTCTGGCCGGACAGAAGCTGCCGCCAACACTGCCTGGTTTGCTGACTGTGTTTTTGTTTTTCTTTGTCAGGCTTGGGAAGTTGAGGACAATTTTAACATAATGGTTTAAATTCTTTCTTTGTTCAACGTCTACATTTTCATAAAGTCTGAAATTGTATTTTTCATAGATATCTATCAAAGCGTACCAAATGTGTCAGTTTGGATCCCTAAACACGAGGCCTCCCGAGTGTACAAATTAAACGGATCTTAACGCACGACCAGAGTTTAAATCCTATATTTCTTCTAAATAATGAAAAATTCTTTGTCAATCCATATTTTCCCCTTTGTAAATATCCGTGTGCCACGTATTCAAAGGGAAACATAAGCACAATAGAAGGTAAAGTGCAGAACCCCAGGGGTAAGTGACAGAAATGTGAGCGGTCACCCCGCCCCGGCCGCTCCCTTCCTGCCGGGCAGCTCAGCTTCCCCGGCCGGGGGCGCTTTGGGGGTGCTCACCGCTACAATATAGCTGTCTGCAAAGCCAGAACACGAGCTTGATGGAAAAGGCACGTTTTCTCTTTGTCCCTTCCGAGCATTCAGTTCTGTTTAAACTAAAGAAACTTAGACCCTTCACATCTGCAAATGTTACTGTTGGCATTCAGCCTCTCAAAAACAGTTTTCTGTTGCATTTCTGTTGCACAGTCGCACCCATGCGGGAATCTCAGCTGACGGATCAGGAGAGACTTAACCAGAAGGCACACGTGACAGAAGGAAGAGTCCCCGGGCCCAAGGATGTTCACAGCCCCTCAGTAACATCGGCGTGTCCAGCGGGGCAGAGCGAGGCAGCGCGCCCGCAGGGGCCTGGTGGGCTGACACACACACACCTTCAGACGTCAGTGACGACTTGGTGAAATGTATCCACCGTGTTTTCTTCCTTAAAAAGTTATTTTAAAGAGAATCGTTGGTCTGTTTTCTGCGTCAGCTTATAATTTGGGATAATAGTTTAACACCGGGATTAATCTGATCGAGGATTTGCAGCTTCTTCTGTTCATGGCTGCTGACATCCTTCCTTGGGACCACCTGCCGTCACGCAGGGCGCAGGGCTGTGGGTCAGCGCTCAGCTGACGTGCCTGTCTGTCTGTCTGTCTAACTAACCATCTGTTATCTCTATTGATCATTGTTCAATCATCCATCCCCACCCACCCATCACCCACGTGTCTGTCGTGTGTCTGTCTGTCCTCTGTCTGTCTCTATCGCCTGTTACGGCTCCACCATCTATTCATCACCGAGCATCTCTCATCCATCGTCTCCCTCTTCCGTCTCCTCTGCCACCTCTGTGTGTACCGATCATCATTTGACCTGTCACATCCCTGTTTATCATGCACCCAGCTCCTCCCTTTTTTGTGCTGCAGAGAATTTGGTTCCTTTGTCTCTCCACCTACAATGAGGAAACAGAAGCCGAAGGAGAACCAGCAGGGGCGTGCTGACGGCTGGGCAGCGCAATTAGAGTCAAGGTCCCTGCACTCAGTCGCCACTGTTCATCAAGTCTAATCAAATAATATGAGTGCTTATGTTTTTCTGACACAAAAACCCAGAAATTTGGTTTTCAGTAAGCTCCATGCAAATAATGAAGTACAGAAATCCTCTTTCCATGTTAAAGGAGATGGTTTGGAGTGGGGAAGCCATGGCCAACTCTTGGCTGTTCACATGAGGAAAAAAACGTTTTTAAGGATAAAAGCACAGCATCCTTTATTTGTTCCAAGCACATACTTTGTCACCATTCAGGCTGCCCGCTCACTGCTGGTCACACAGCATAGTCTCTCTTGCCTTTTTTTTTTAATTATTATCTTGAGCTGCTTCTACTATTTTTCAAAGGGGTCAAAAGTTATTTAGCAGTTTTATTCTTTAGGGGAAAGTTTCACCCTATTCTCTTTTCACTGAGTTTTTACAATGATTTTGAACGTCTCGTGTTGCCCACGGCCTGACAAGGGGAGCCAGCAGAGGTGCGTGCCTCCCACCGTGAGAACAGGGGTGTTCCGTGGATGAACTGCAGGAAACCAACATCCACACACAAAGTCTGGCCCAGAAGGCGGGACCCAGCGCCCCTATTTCTGGGCAGCTTCCTGTGGCCTCGGATCTGGAGCCGCGGCACCTGACAACTGCCTCCTCTGTCTGCGCAGGTGGACACTGTAGCCACGATGCCCTTGGAAGTGCAGCCTGGGCGAGCCAGGCAGGAAGGTGGTGCCGAGGTGCTGGTGGACGCTGCCTCCTCCACTGTCTCAGATTCAGCCGTTCTCCCCTCGGAGGGGAGGCCTGGTCCACCGCCAGGGTCTGCGCCTCCCGCCCTCGGCACCGTGGGAGACCTCCCCCACCCCAGTCCTGCCTCCCACCTCACGTCCTCGCCAGCATGTGCTTCTGAGGAGCAAATCCACGCCCTGCAACCTGGAATGCCTCCCCTCGGTGGGAGACTGTATTTCCCGACGTTTTGTAATGTTTCCAAAAATTCCAGTTTCTAACGGGGCCCCTCAGGGAGGGTGGTTTCCTCCAGGCCCAGCAGTGACAGGACAGCTCCGGCCGAGGGTCCAGCACACGCACGGCCCCCGTGTCCTCTCCATGCGCCACCTTAGCACAACTGACACCATCATGTTTTTGAAATATCCCAATGGCCTGATTTTTGTTTTGCTCTCACTGGAAACACTTGCAGTCGATACTATTTTTAGCAAACGTTAATTCTATTTTTAAAGCTGTGCTGATGCTCTCCAGTGGAAGTTTACGTGCGTGAGGAGCGCCCCCACGCCCCCTTCCGCATCCTTCGCTCGGTGTGGCCTGCTTGTAAGGCGGCTTCCCCGTCTCTCTCTCGTCCTCGTCCAGCTCCCCACCCAGACCTAACAGCAGAGCAGGAGCCTCCTTGGAGACTGGCAGAGAATAAACTCCTCAGAGAGGCGAAACCATGATTTCAAAGTGCCTTTTCTTTTTCAAACAAAGGATGAACTCACAGCGCACATTCGAAAGGTTAAACCCTACAGAGCCAGGCCAATATTTGCTTAACTTCACTAAGTGAAAGATGATTTTGCCGAGGGACCGGGGAGAGACCTTTTATTTGATCTGATTTTACACAAACATTTTTGCACTCAGAGGGGGAGGAAGGTTCCAGAGCCTTATCAGAACCATCACGAGATGTCTGCTCCAAGTGTCACGTCTCAGGTGCTGACTTAGGGCCACCAGGATAACCCAGGCTTATTTCATATCAGAGACACACAGCCGGGGGCAGGTACCTGGGGGCGGTGTAGGGAGCGGTTCTGACTGTTCAAATGAACATCTGCAAACAGGGAAGATGGTGCTCGGGGCTCTCTGCGATGGGGGGCTGTTTAAGAGATTCTTCACAATTAACCTGAAGAGAAAAGCTGTCTGTCTTGTGTGTCCTGCCTTTGGCGTGAGCTGGATTCAAAGCCACACAAAAAGTTGTCGCGCTCCGAGAGGCTGGTCTTCAGCAAGGGGCTGAGCCTTACATGTTTTAAGGGCCGAGATGAAAGGGACATCTTTTCGAATGAACCAGACTCTACTGATCAGAAGGATCAGTTGGCCCACACGTTCGCTGGTCTGTCGCCTTCCGTAAGTCGAAGAAAGAGAAAAATCACGTCACGTTTCAGGCTGATCTCAGAAACCACACCGAGTGTGTGTCCCCAGGTTGCTTCTTCCCAGAATAAACTCCTGCTCTACATTTAATCTAAACGTCAACGAGATTTATACTAGGAATGATGACCCAAGACCCGGGACAGTGTGCAAACACGAGAGGCATGTTTGATTGGGCTCATTGCCCTCTGCGGACGGCGACAAGACAGGGAAATGAGCTCACAGTTCACAGAGAACTTCGCAAGAAAAAGGAAATAATTCAGTGACACTGTTTAGCCAGGACTATCATTGTCTACAACACCCCAGTCTATCACTCTCCTGAGAAATCAGAGCTCACGAGAAAAGCTCTGGAGGCTCCGAGGACAGCAGAGGGAGAAGGGCCAAGAGAAGAAGGAAAAGGAGAGACAGGTGAACAGAGTCCGAGGGGCAGTGCATGCCTGTGACAGGCGCTGGCCATCTCCCGTCCACGGGCAGGACTCGGGCACCTGAGGATGAGATGGCTCAGGGCCACCTCTTTCATGCCAGGTCTGTCTTTGATCCCACGCTGGAATCAGGTGAAGAACTGTGGTGAGACATGCCTAGTCCACGTTTTCTTAACCTTGGCAATTTTCCTAAAGTGAGCTGCCCCCGCGCCTGGGGTTGGATGAGGACTAACCACACCGATGACCGCCTGCAGTGCGAGCCCGTCTGCGGCGAGGGCTGGTAGGGACACAGTAGGCCACGCCCCCTGGTTAACTGACTGCGTGACAGTGTATGTTCACACGGGCTGCCCCTGACCCTTGGTTGTTCTGGACACGTCCGCAGTCCACTGTGGGAGCGAGGAGGGCCTCCCTGAGCGCCAGCACAGCCTGTATCAGCAGCCCCGGGGACAGCCCTGGCCGTGGGTGGGCAGACAGCTGTGTCTGGTTCTGTCGGGAAGGGCGGGCAGTTAGTCCTTCCGTGTCACGGACCTGGGACACAGAGAGAGGGAGGCTGGCTGAAGGGCCAGAGACTCTTCCAGGCTTTCATCTTGAGACGTCACGTCCAGCAGCTCTGGCCCGCCCGAGAACAGAGGGCTGTCCTCGTGCATCAGTTCCAGCAAACTTGGGCCGCTGAGTGCACGGCGGCCTGGCTGCTGGTCAGCACTGCGCCAGTAACTGGTCCCCTAACTCCCAACTTGCCAAAGGGTTTGTTTCTGTTTGCTTGTTTCCCAGATCAATCCCCACACACCAAGCAGACCGTTAGGTCCCAGTGGCCACTTCTGCTGCCTCTGGGGGGGGTGGCTTTGCTTCCTCTTGGCCACTTGCTCATCTCGTTTCTCTTCTTCCTACTTTGCAGCGTGTGGCTGTTACCCAGGACCCACGACGACGGGCGGGGCTGGTGGTACCACCGCCTCTGACCACTAGGTTGATTGCTTCCTCTGGCCGCTCAGTTCTATGAACAGACACTCCGGGCCTCACCAAGGCCCCTTGGCCAAGTGTCGGTTTGGGGGGGTCCCAGGATAGTAACAAAACATCGAGCATCGACCTTGCTCAGAGCCTTTTCTTTGTTGATCTTGCAACTCCTCCTCCCCTGCGAAGCTCTTCTCAACAGAACCAACCCATAGAACCTAGTTCTCCTCAACAGGGCACGGTCAGCTTCACCGTCAGTTTGCTAGACAGAGCATCAGGGACACTGACCCACTTCAGTGCCACACAGAACAAGTCGTTCCGGCTGCACCGACGCTGGCACCTGGGCTCCAGCGCAGCCTGGTGTCCGGGTGAGCCGCCGTCTGCGAACACAATGACCTCACAGGGGCAGGTCTCGGGGCAGCGTCCTGAGGTGGACCTGGCTTTGTCGTCTCCACCACAAAGGAATGGGCTCCCAGGCTCACCCAGAATGGAAGAACCAGAGTCGGAGGGGGCGGCTGGGCCGGACCGCCACCCCACCACAGCTCGATGAAGCGGCCCGCACTGTGACTGCAGGAGGCGGAACGTGGCACTCATCACAGAGCCGCGCGTGTTTGCCTGGAACCCAGGGACCTCTGCGTGAGACTCCGGGGGTGCCCTCGGCAGGAGACCCCGTGTAGCACGGTGAAACAGCACGGAGGGACTGAGCTCTGTGTTGTCACAGGTCTGCCTGCTTGCCAGTTATAAAATCAACTTTGACTAGTTCAAAAGGGGCCTAGTTTCAAATGGGTTCTCAGAATCCCAGCGTTTTCTGTTTGAAGCAGTTAATGCTCAGCCTGGGTTCAAAATGAGGGTGAATATTCACAACTTCATTAAGTGGCAACACACTGTGATATTGGTTCATTCAAAGGAGAGGCCGGTCTGACGGGGCAGAAACTTCTGAGCTGAGGAGCGGCCT